GAGATATGGCACACACTCTTGAGGTATTTGTACCAGGCCTCAGTAGCTGGGAGGGAGAGGTGCGTGCCCCTGCCTATCTGTCCTTAGGGCCCTCCGCAGACTTTCAGGGTGGCCTCGTCCTGTCTTGCTTCTGTCTCAGTCCCTTAGTTTTTCCACCTCGGGCCTTCCTCTAAGTTGGCGCTCTGTGTGTCTGTGTCTGTATTGGGGAAGTGGCTGTAAACAAATCAGCTGACTGCTAACATTTGCAATCTGTTATCTGCTGGACATTTAAGTTTCCTGGGCTTCCTCATCCGGTTCCGATGACATCAGATGCCCTGCTTTCTAGGAACAGTTTCTAAGATGCCCAGCTTGGGTCCCATCCTTTAGGGGCATGAACGTGGGCTCTCAGGCTGTCCTCGAGGAGAACTTATTTATTTATTTAAAAAATGTTATTTTATCCTATCCTCCCCCCCCCCCTCAAGCTCTCACCCCTTGAGGAGAATTTAAGGCTTGGGTGGGGAGATCTTCCTTTTGCTTTCCTTCACTTTCCCAGCACCAGCCCTATGGTGGTCATGTGATGGGCACATTATTTTGCAAAGCAGATGCCCCTTGGGGGGGTCACATTGTGTCCTCCAGGTGAGAGGCTGCCTCATTTGCAGCACAGAGACAAGAGGTGCTGAATGCTGCACACAGTCACATACAGGAATATTCAGTGCATGTCAGAAAGGGGACCAGGCGTGGCCCTTTCTGATTGTGTGCGTGTGAGGCCAACTGAAGCCTGAGTTCTTTCTCACACTGAAGCTGAGAATGGGGAGAAGCACAAGAGCTTGAGATTTCCTCAGAAGCCCACATCTCTCTGGCTGCCAGTCAGCAGCGGAGATGTTACATGTTGATGTCACACATTCACCTTCCTTCCTCTCTTTGGTAATTCTGCAGTGGCTTCTGTTTTTTTGTTGTTTAAAAAGGGGACTGGGAGCAAAGCAGTTCTGCCTTATCCACATGCTTGGAGAGCCCCTCAAGGGCAGATGTACCCCCAGCTCTCCTGGGCCTGGAGAAGATGGGGAGATGCAGGGGCGACTTCTTATATCACCTCTACCTGGTTCTTCCTCTGCACCCCAGGTCTAACAAACTGAGGCTACTGCAGCTGGCCTCACTACCTTTCATCTCTTCCCATGCTGCCAGGCCCATGCTTTTCAGGCCCCAGTGTGGTCGCGTGCCACTGCTTGGGAAGCTGCAGTGTGTCCTGCAGAGCCTCAGCAATAGCTCTGCACTGACTGCCAGGCTCCCAGGCAGGCCACCCGCAGGGCTCCTGGTGTGCCTTCTTTCCTCTCTTTCTCCCACAGCAGGCTGCGGGACAGCTCCTTGCTCATTGGTGCTTGTGTTCTCACTCTGCTGGGGTCTTTTTGGTACCATCATAGGGTGGGCAGAAGACTGCTCTCTTCAACTGCTATGAGCTTCTGAGGCCCATAGCCTGTCTCACTTATTCTGTACCATCGGGGTCCTTGCTTAGGGTCCTGCCCACAATGAAGAGTCTATCACCAATGGAAAGAGGCAGAGGAGGGATGTGTTCTGACTGAAGAACCTTCCTGAGGCACCTCTGTTGACTTTCCTCAAGACAGGATAAGCTCCCTGTCCTGCATACTCCATTCTCCTGCACTCCCTTCCTCCTCCACCCTCCAAGATCCCTCAAGGCATCTCCATGGTGACCTTCCTTTGCTGATTCGTGGTCCAGAGGCACAGGGCCAGCCACATTACCATTTTGCCCCTCAGTCAGGGTCCTTTTACACAGTGACCTCTCCTCAGGACGTGCTACATCAGGTTCCCTGTTGTGCTTTTAGAGTCTGTTAGCCTGGAAGGTTCCCAAGGCCAAGAAGTAAGTTTAGAGTCCAAGAGTCCACTGATTTAGGCTTCAAAATAAGTGTTTCTTTTTCTATAAAATGGAATAATAACCACCCCTATCCTGAACATTTTCTTTTTTTGTGTGTGGTACGGGGATGGAACTCAGGACCTTGCGCTTGCAAGGCAGGCACATTGCCACTGAGCTAAATCCCTGGCCCTTAACCACCCCCATCTTGTAGTGCTGTCTCAAGGACTGAATGAGTTACTGTGAGTGAAGCTGAGTCCCTGAGACAAAAGGCTGATCAATCGGCATTGCTTATTACTCTGATGGTGACTAAACCAGGTGCCACTGCAGCTTTAGGAACTGCTGGTAAGGGGGACTTAAGTGCTGTTTTGACAAGTGTGACCAGGAGGGAGCAGAGCTATAACTGAGTAGCCTCTGCCGCTTCTGTCACCTGCCTGTGTCTCCTGCCTCCCAGTCTGGAGGCCCTTAAGCTTCTGAGGAAGTAGTTAGAGAAACTCATTCATCTATGGTCAGACATGGAGCCGGACAGTTGGGACAGTGGGGACACTGTTCTGGCTGGACCAGGTGTGAGCCGGGGAGAGGAGGGATGGAAAAAGATTAGAAAGAAGAGGGCCTGATGGAGGGCCCTCAGCGACCTCACCCTCTGTAACAGCGCCTGCTGCATGTACAGACTGACTCCACCCCTACTTACTGCACATCCACAGCACCTCCAGAGGGGCTTGACTCCCACGCTGAGAGGAGAGGGCGGCAGGTTCAGAGAGCTGCAAGGGGAAAGCTGGTTTGCCAACCCCATCCAGTGGGCAGCAGGCAAAGGGTCTCTCCTCAGATCCATATGTGCTGTGAGAACAAGAGGCAGCTGAGAGCCCCCTGGAGCTGCTGGTGAGGTGACAAGGACAGAGGCAGGTAGTGTTCTGCCAGGTGCCCAATAAGCTCTGCCCCTTATCTGTGGATGGCATCCACAGGGTTGCTGTGCCACACAGGAGGGCAGAAGCTGCCGTGCCGCAGTTCACACAGGCTTTATGGCCAGGCTCCCCACCTGAGCTGGGAGAGGCTCAGACAGCAAACCTGCAGGTTCATCTGAAGACGAGCTGTGGTTACAGCCTCTAGGATGCAAGCCTAGGGGAGCCAGCAGTGTCACCACAGAGGCCTGAATTGGGGTCCTGAAGTCCCTCTGGCTGGAGTTAATGCCCCTTCCTCCTCAGCCAGGGCCGGTTCAGCCCATTTGCTTGCCTTGGTGACCTCTGCCCTCTGGTCTTTTCGACTAAAGCATAAGTGGCTGAAGGGCAGGGGGCAGCACATCTCATAGCCATTTCCTCAGGGAGCTCAGCACAGTGCACAGGCGTGGAACAAACGCGCCGGAGCGGCCAGGGTGGAGGTGCATACCCACCTCGGTGGGGAGGGATCTTGTATCCAGCCAGCCCCTCTAGTGCTGCCCAGAGCCTCCGGTTATGAAGCCCAGTACAGCTTGGCTCCTGCTCTGGAGTGCTCTTTACACCTCTGCTGAGCGACGGATCGGGGCAGAAAAGAGAGCTAGGATTGGGGGCCCCAAGTGCAGACTTCTCAACAAGCCTAGGGGAGGCCAGCTTGGCGGCAGCGTTTCACGGGAGGGTAAAGACAGCTCTGGGTGTTCCCAGCCTGGGCCGAGCGCCCTCCTCAGCGTGTCCTCTGATGACCAGACCTTCAGGCGCTCCTGGACTCTGGGCCGACCTAGCCTGTGGCTCAGGGCACTGTTACACAGTTTCACTCTTGGCATTGGCGATGGAAGGCCTGGCGAGTCCCTGGATCTGCCCCCTACCCCTCGCGGCCGGCTGGAGTCCCAGCCAGCGCGTGTCCTACCCAGGCTCGCGGGGCAGGCACTCACGCAGCTGCAGGAGCCTTGAGGAGCCGCGCGTGCCTGCGTGCGTGTGTGCGTGCGTGCGGGGGGGGGGAGTTGCACCCCGCAGCCCAGAGCGCTTTTCCAACCTTGCGCTTCAGCTGCGGGCCCCTGGCTCACGCACGGTACCTCGCCCCAGGTGCACGAGGCATGCGGTGTGGGCGTTTTTGCCCAGGAGACCGCGTGTTCAGGGCTGGACAAGCCCCGCGGAGGGGCAGCTTTCACGCTTCCTTCCCTTTCCAGTCCTCCCAGATCTCTCCTCTGCTTCCTTGGGTCGTGGTACCTGCAGTCATCCCTCTCCTCTCGCCGCCCTCTTCCTCTCGTGAAGGAGCAGCGCCTTCCAGTGGGGCCCGGGTTCCCCTAGCCTGAGCCCTGGAGTTTAGTGAGGTCCTGGTGCACTGGTGTAGGCACCCAGCAGAGCGTGCATCCTGCTCAAGACGCTGTGTCAGGGGGACGCGCGTGCGCCAGCGGGCGAGAGGGTGGAGGTGGAGGTTCTGCAGGGCCGCACAGCCGCGTGCCCATTGGCTGAATGCAAAGCAGGGGCGGGGCCGAGGCGGGTAGGGGGCTCCGGGGTTTCAGAGCCAGAGTCGGGCTAGGGTTCCGCAGGGAAAGCCTGGCAGTGCAGCTGCCGTGACCCCAGGCTGTGCCCGCTTCGCGCCGCAGCCTGGCCGGCGGCAGCTCCGCAGAGTGGCGGAGTAGGGGGGGCGGGGCGCCCCGGAGGCTCGGCTTGCTGTGGGCTGGGCTAATAGAGGCGTGCGTAGGGAGCCTGGACCCCGGCGCTCTTCGGCCTGAGTGAGCTGCTGCCCTGCAAGGAGCGATCAAACAGTCGCAGCCTCCCCGAGCGCTGAGCCGGCTGGGTGTGAGCGCCGTCCCGCAGCGGCGGGGCTCGGGCTCTGGCCCATCGTGAGTGCGCCAGCTGGGGCGGAGGTCCCGTGGGGACCCGCGCCCGCTCGCCCTCGGGTGTCCCCACTGCCCTACTTCGGGAGCGATGCCCCCCGCCCCCCGGATCCCCCGAGAACGACGAGAGCATGGAGAAGTCGAGTAGTGAGGACTCTTCGATCCACCAGAGTCCATCTTTGGACAGCAAGGACTCGGACTTCGCCAAGCCGTCCACCTCGGGCCGCCCATTCGGCCGCGGCTTCACAGCTGGCGCCTTCTACGGCACCGCGGGTTCCCGGGGCCAGAGTCGCGCCGAAGCCGGCGTGAAAGCCGACAAGTACAATGCACCCAAAGGCAGCAAGTACGTGGTATTTTACCTGGACCTGTCCTTTGTGTTCCTTCTAGAATTTAAGAAGTGCAACATGGCCAGGGGCTGCCTCTGCTGCTTGAAGTACATGATGTTCCTCTTCAATTTACTATTCTGGGTAAGTCCTGTTTTCAGTTCCCCCTCTGCCCTGCTCTCGAGAGCAGTAGCCTGAATACCCGCTCCGCTCTGCTCCATCCTTTGCTGCATTGTTCCCCGCTCTGTATAGCAGTAAGTGCCTTTTTTACTAGTCTCCCACCCCCTTAATGCATTTCTTGTTTCTCTTCCTTTCCTCGGTGTCTGAATGGAGGCCCCAACTTGCCTGTCTTCCAGGAGAGACTTGCCCTACTCCCGAAAGGATGGCAAAGTTTGTCATCACCTTCTCCCCATTTAGAAAACCTATGTGGGACGTGCCTCAGACTGGGCAGCTGGCAGCAGTGGTGTGGGGTCAGAATCTAACAGCTGTGACCCTGCGCTGGCTGTGGACACATGAGGATGATGTTCTGGGTTTCTTCCCATATTGCAATCTGTCGTTGGATGGGCTGGATGGCAGAGTATAGAGGTCTCATGTCTCCACCTTTAGTGACTCCTGGAAGGAGGTGCCTCTGTCCCAAGCCGAGCTGGGGCTGGGGGCATGCTGCCATCGGGTGTCTGGCTGCTGCTTTTGAGGGACTGCAGTGGCCTGGGCAAGGAGCGGGCTGACCACGTGCTCCCAGGCTCCGGGACCAGAAGGGACAAAGGGAGACAGGGTGCTCCATGCTTTGTGAGGTTGTTTTCTGGAGAAAGTGTCAGTGGGTGGGGCAGCTTGGGATTGCTTTCTGCCCTCTGTGGGCCACTGGAGGCTGGGCATGCATAAGGAGTAACAGGCAAATTTAGTGAAAACTTCTCGAGTGTATGTCTGTTCTTTCATCCTGACTTCTGCCTCTGCTTTTCTTTACTGGAGCCAGGACACCATCAGCACAGATGTTTGGCTCGGCCTGCCCACTGGGAGTCTGTCAGCTTCAGCCTCCTGGGCATGGTCCAGGAAGAGCACTGGGGGCAGGGGAGAGTCATTTGGAGAGGCGTTGGGTAGAAGTAGCTGTGCTGTGTTCAGCCTCTGTGGTGACCCACTTCAGCTGAAGAAGTGTGTGTGATGTGTGAAGGGAGAGGACAGGCTTCTGGTCTTGCTCTGTGTTAGCTTTGGTGTGACCTTGGGTAGCTCACCGTGCACCTTACTGTCCAGTCTCTTCACTGTCCCCTGGGCTCCTGGGTGATGTTCTGGCCAGGGCAGCAAGGTGCCTAGTGCACTCCTTTCCAGAGATGATCTGAGATTCCTTGTGTTGGGCTTCCCCAGATGTCTCCATAGGCTGGAACCTTCTGCTTTGCAGTTAGGATGTCCCCTATCGTCTGGCTGGGGTTCTGTGGAAGCTGAGGCAGATACTCTGATTTCTTTTTCTGATGGCCAAACCTTTAATGTCAAGGCCTCTGTGGCTTCCCTGTGGCGAGTGCCTTCTGATCCTTTGACTTTTGTGCCAGCGTCGTATTCTCCAGTGCCTTTGGGTCTGCACGGATGCTGTCATTTTTGTTGTTCACTGCCTCCTTCTCTGTTGTTTTTCATGGTCTCAGGCTGCCCTTTTCTTTTGCCCCAACCTGCCTGGTATATGAATGCTTATCATTAAGACTCTACAGGGATGTTTGGTGCCTTTGGCCAGTAGCTCCCACTCGGGCACTTGCTCCTCCCCACCCTCACCCTGCCACCTGCTGGCTGAAGTTGGTATAACTGCTTGTGCCTTCAAGAGGGCTCCAACTTAGTTTGGGGACCTCTGGACACACTGTCTGTGCCCTGCACAGAGCAGGTGCCAATGATATGTTTGCAAGTGAATGAATGGATGGCCAGAACTGTGAATCACAACATATTATTATGTGGTAGGGATTCCCAAGTCTGACTTGACAGGGACCAGAAGTTACATATCAAACTTGCCTCTAGAAAGGCTCTCCCAGACCTTAGCGGGGGTGTGACAAGTGACTCTTTCTATTTTAAGAGCGTGGCAGCAGTTAATGACCTAGCTGAGGAAAGTCCTTTCTTTATGGTCTGTAGTGAGAGAACTTTGTCTCGTCCTAACTGGTACCAGCAACACTTTCTCACAAGACAAGGAGTTGCTCCTATTCCCTGACTTTTTTGATTACTTAATATTGTCAGAATCCCCATAGCAAGCTATGAGCCAGGAAAAACAGAGTCCCAGTTCTTTTATGCATGCTGGTAGCATGTGAGATAGTAAAATAAGACATAGATCTTGGAAAAGACGGGAGATTTAGCAGGAGAGAAATGGACGCTTGTGTGTGTGAGTGTTAGCCAGTGTTTGTAGGGAGCTGCTTGGGGATAGTGGGTCACTGCGTTTCACTGCAGTGAAGACTTCCTGTGGCAGGTGTTCCTCGGCCTGTTGTGGAGGAAGAACAGAGAAGGGATTGAGTGAGAGGGGAAAGGCTGCTGAGGTGTGACTGCAGCAAGGCCCCTGGGAGACCCCTGCTGCTGCCCTGGGCACAGTTACATGGTGCATGGGCTGGGCTGGGCTGGGAGAGTAAGGGAAAGGCTCAGGAGATGGTAAGGGAGAGGGTAGGGCCAAGAGAGGGACAAACCCAGGAGCAATTTTTAGGAATTATGCGGCCATCACTTGTTTTAGTCCCATGGCTCAGATCCCAAAAAGAGGCTTTTCTGAGGGATTAGAGTTGGGCTCAACACCTGCAATCAATAGACAGAACTCTTTTCATAGATCCAGAGCCCACCTAGTAGTTCTCCAAACCTCTTTGCTGCTGCCACCCGCCCTGCCTCTTCCAAGCCCTTCCAGAGGATCCCTAACCTGGAGGAGAAAGGCATCAGACTCTGGCCCCTCACAGGTCTGGGAATACCTGCTTCCTGGCCACTGGGTTGAGCTTCGAGGGTGTTGGTTTTGGTGAGAGCCTGGGTGACATCACTGGCAGGCCGGAAGGGAGGTAGAGCTGAGCAGCCAGCACTCCTCTTACTAAGAAAAGGGCAGGTGCCTCCTAGGCTGCTGGGCGCCTGCCTGCTGGTGGTGGTCCAGGTCTACTTCTGGAATGTCGACTACAGCCAGATGCTGCTAGCCACATTGGCATCCCAGTGCACTATGGGAGCTTGGGGCACCTAGGAGGGCAGTGTTTCTGAGGGCCTGATACAGCTGGAGCTGGTGGTCACTATGAAGGTCACCATGGTGGCCGAGACAGGGAACCCTCCTCTTTATTCCCTGAATCCCCCACCTTGATTCTCACGGCCAAAGAGAATGCTGGCTTCTTCATTGACAGGCTGGCCCTGAACTGGGACAGAATGTCCCCCATTCTGTCCGCCACTAATGAAATCCAGTCCAAGGTACTTCTCCCAGGAGAAGAAGCCATTTGAGGCATTTCCCTCACTCACCATATCTCTGGATCCTCCCAGAGCTGTCTGATTGATGGCTGAGGTAGAGATAAATTGAATCTAAGCCTCTACAGAGGGTGACAGAGGCTCGGAGCTGTTGACAGTGAGGAAAGGGAGAGAGTGTATGGGGCTGCCTGCAAAGAGGACTTCTGAGTGCTGGGGCCCGTGCCCTCTTCTCAGGACAGCAAGTCATAATCCCAGCCCAGTTGCTGTGTGATATGGGGGAGCAGGGACTGGTTACTGTCATAATTGCCACTTGGAATAATGATCACTTTTCATGCTGGCCAGCAGGGCTGTCCCATCACTTTAAATCATAGTTGGCAGAGCGGTGACATTCTGGCCCCACTGGGAAGCCTATTCCTTGTGGATTGCTCCCTTCATAAAGGGCAGTTAGCTGAGATGGTGTTCAGTGAGCCTGATGAAACACAGGAAGGTTGGCATGGAGCAGCCACAGGCAGGGAGCTAGGTGGGGCCTTCATTAACTTGAGTAAGTGGGGTCAGGCCCCTGGGGTTGTCCAAGTTCCCTAACTGGCCTGGCTGGCTGTGGACTCCAGGCTGGGGCCTGTGAAGTCAGTGCTGGACAGCTTGAATGCCATAGGGTACTGTGGGGTGCCGCCTTCTGATGAATGGTGTGGAGGGATCCCAGCTGGGAGCTCAGGTTCAGACATAGTCTCTCCAAGTAGAGGGGATACAGGCTGGACCAGGCCTAAGAAGCGTTTGGGACTTCCCAGAAGGTTCAGGGTGAGTGACACAGGCTGGCTCCCCACAGGGATGCTGCAGAAAAATCTGGGTGGGTCAGGCATGGCTCTGCTTGGAGGCAGGGGCACAGATGAAGGGCTGGGTAGATACCCTGAGAGACTCCTGGAATGTGGCCGCAAGAGGATGCCAGCTGTGTGTTCACTTCCTTTCCAAAGCATTAAAAATTAAACTTCCTTGTCTTAATATCTATTTTTAAATCATGTCAGAGCCAGCATTGGTGTCAGTCAAGAGGGGGTGGGGAAGAGGGGGTAGAGGAGAGGCAGACCCCGATGAACAGCTAAGTTCTCTCTCCACCTTAGAAGGGCCTGGGCTGCATCCCCGCCTGCCTGAACGAGCACAGCGGACAGCGGCTTCCCCTTCCCACCCTGTGTGCCTGGCTGCCCTTGGCTGAACTTGACGGCAGGCCCCGTGGTCCTCGGCCTTCTTGGCTTGCTAGGGTGTTGGGCCCAATCGAGTCCATTCACTCACGCCACAACTATTTGCTGAATGCCGCCGTGTGCACCGGAGCCTCCAGTTGGTAAGGGCAGGGTCTGACTGGCTGCATAGCCATATCAGTTTTCCCGAGCCAGGAAGTCGTGGAATTGGGAGGTCATCTGGCCTGTCCTGTGCCCAGCATTTGAACACAGGCCTGCCAGGGCAGGGGCTGGCATGTGAGGGCTCTTCCTTCTTCCCCAGATTCTAGGCTAGGGGTGGCAGGCCTGGATCTGACAGCCTGGCAGCATGGTTTGACTTGTCCTCTCCTCTCCCCACTCCCTCTCTGAAACGTTTGCTCATTCATATCAGAAAGAAACGGAGAAATGGAGGAAAAAAGAGCCTCAGGGCTTTTGTTCTTCTTAATTTGGAAGAAGTCAGTGAATCGTGTGGCTTTTCTGTTTTTCTCCTATTAAAAGGACTAATGGATGCCCTGTATCCAGTGTGTACTGTACACTTACTGAACACTCACTATAAGCTAG